GTGTTTTTATGTTGCGCACTGACTGAGTTATTATAGTATATGCTATGATAGTTATGTAATATATTAAGCATGAGAGATCTTTTTTAATCAAATCTTACAACGGAGAATTTTTAGTGGGTCCGAGACAATTTGATAAAAACCGGCAAAGTATTGATTGTCTGATGTATTTTCGCTATTGAAACTTAAATTACGGGAGTAGACAACCCTTTCAAAAAATCGCGAACCCCGAAGTTCCAAACTTAACTAACGGTTGCACTTCTCGCTGCCCGTTTATCGTAATTACGACGACTTTAATCAAACCTTAAAAACAAACACCAAAATGGATCGAAATTTGCCAAACGTTACCTTTTGAGTCCGTTATCTGAAAGGTGCCCTAAGATGGCAGCGAAAAACGCAACCACTTTTTGAGTTCGTGTACGTGTTATTGAACGCACACTAAAAAATGAGGGGAAACGATTCTTTTGACGCTGATAACAAGGTCGATAATAATGGTATATTTTCTTAATATAATGAAAAGAAATATCTCTAACATTAAAAATTGAGGGCTTACTTTCTTTCGTAGTTTTAGTCTCGTATGTCTTTGGAAATTCGATATCAAAATCTTCTGTAGGCAGGGTGCACTTGTACTCAGCAGTCTTTGTATGGGTGTAGGTTTCGTCTCTAGTAAGGTTCGTACTTTCAGTAGTAGCCTGGGTCTCAGTTTTTCCAGCAGATGGAATCTGGCTCACGCCAGTAGCTTGAGTTTCTCTAGCTCCCGCAGCTCTTGTCCCAGTTTCTGTAGCTTCCTCAGTCCTCGTCTTAGTTTTCTCAGCCGATGGAGTCTGAGCTTCTGCAGTAACTTGGGTCTCCGTGCCTTCCACAGTCAAAGTACGAGTTTTGTTCGCAGATGGAATGCGAGTATTCCCTGAAACGAAGATCTCACTTTTGTCAACCATCTGACTCTGGCTTTCCCCAGCAGGTTGAATCTGTATTTTCTCTGAAGTCCCACGTTTGACAGCAATCTGGGACTGAGTTTCCGTAGAAGTTTGAGTCGAGGTTTCCCCAGAAGCCTTAACGGGTGAACTAGCATTGCTTTCTGACAAATTAGCGAAAGAAAGAAGCAATGTCATTTTTACGTATGAAGAAATACTACAGAAATACCTGAGTGACATGAAAAATCTCTAAATACTGTGGTGTCTTGTTCGGTCAACACCCTGTGCCCTGTTATTGTTACTGTAATTGTTTATTTTTCTGTTGTGGGTGCTACTGGCTGGTCATCATTTTAAAACGGTGCATTACACTGTTGTGCTCTAAAGTTCTCAGTATAAGATGATTGTCGAACGGTANAGCCTTAACGGGTGAACTAGCATTGCTTTCTGACAAATTAGCGAAAGAAAGAAGCAATGTTATTTTTACGCATGAAGAAATACTTCAGAAATACCTGATTGACATAAAAAATCTCTAAATACTGTGGCGTCTAGTTCGCTCAACACCCTGTGCCCTGTAATTATTACTGTAATTGTTTATTTTTCTGTTGTTGGTGCTACTGGCTGGTCATCATTTTAAAACGGTGCATTACACTGTTGTGCTCTACAGTTCTCAGTATAAGGTGATCGTCGAACGATAAATCACATCTAGACTACAAGTGACAAAACGACACAATCATTGTTAACTTGACATAGCTAGCTTCCTGAATGAAAGACATCCCAAAACCTATCGGTTTAGTTTTGCCTGAATAAAAATGTATAAACATACTTATCTCATACCTTGAAAGAATGTTATTTTCAACTTACTTGGTTTGCTCGACAGAAACTCTTTGCATGCCAAGTAATCTTCTTCTTGAATAGCTGTTGCTAAATTTACAGACTCCACATGAAATCTCCTCTTAATTTCATCTGTCACGAGGTATTTCTCCGCTATTTTATTTAAGCGCCCAGAACGATAGTCTTCCCACAGGCGTTCCAGTCCTTCTAGATTGTTGCACTTCACTGCTAACCGTAAACTATTCTCACTTCCTTCTGTTGGCGTTGAGTCGTGAATTAGTTTTAGATGCTGAAAGTACTGAGGTAGTTCATCAACTGGAACATCACTTGTTTCTTCTTCAGACAGTAGTTGTTGACTTTCTTTTCCTTCTTCTTCTTCTTCTTCTTCTTCTTCTTCTTCTTCTTCTTCTTCTTCGTGAACACCATTATCTGACTGTTTGTATTGAACGTTGCCTCTGTCTTCAAAGTTATCAAAGAAAAAAGTTAATGAAACGTGAGGAAGATAGCAAATGTTCCATTGGTGTTCTTTCCCTTCGGGTTTTAATCCATGCAAAGGACATATCCCTCGTCCTAGTTATAAACATGTAGTTGCACATATAAGGTATGTTTTTTTGACGGTATCTTTGGTTCCTTTATTTGTACGTCATTTACTGTCGTTGTCATTATCTGTAGATATCTGGACACTATTTCTGCATTAACCTTGTTGTCGTATGGATACGTATGTGGTGTATTTTAACACATATCAACGCAACACCATGCAAATATTGTACTAATATATTTGCTTTAGTTGAAATACGATACTAAACCAAAAAAAGACAAGAAAATTTTCCTGTCTGGAGCAGTGGGATCACTATTCTGCGAATAGTATCAGCAGATTGTAAATAAATAGACCAGCAGTCAGATTCAAGATTTAAAAGTTTAAAAACAAACAAACAAACAAAAAACAAAACAAAATGAGCGCTTACGTACTAAAGTAATGAATTAGTTTAATAAGTAGGCACTCAACCTAAAATTTAAATATTTCTGTAGCTTCCTTTTCAATTTTATCCTTCAAATTTGTCCTACACCCCAGGGCACAAACGAAGCATTTAATCAGTGCCTTATGTTCTGTTGATATTCGTGACTTCTTGAAAAACGTTGTAACTTACAATTAACTGCAAAGTGCACTGTCATTGGTTCATCTTCTTCAGCGGTTTGAGTCTGAGTCTCANTTTGGAAGCCAAGCGCGATGAAAAGCGCGATGAAATTTTCACCTCTGCGGTGGAGCTTTTCCAGATTTGAACCGTTGGACTTTGCGGCAAGCTGATGGCCCGGCAAATTTAAACCCGATTTGACACCGACAAAAAGTCTGCAGTTCTATGACAAAAAATCGGCTACTGTGCGGCAGCCTTAACACTGAATAAGATAATACATATGAATTCCATAAACAAGGCATCAAAATGACATGTTCACGGTCAAATAAACTTTGTAGGAATCCGGTGCAGAAAAAGTGGCAATATATGAGATTTGTATGTTTCGAATATCGAATTTATTTCTATGTAACCGAAGATGTATAGAATGAACGAAAATAGGCTCTTAATATAAACATATTCGTATTGCCACCATCCAGCGGTCACTGAGCTGTGCTTCGATATATCAGAAAAGAAAAAAACAACACTAAGAGAAAATCATACCTTGGAATTTACTGTAAGCTATATATTGTGGAATATTGAATATCAAATACATAAAGTAAACCAAGGCATAAAGCTGCACATTGTTCACTCACTTGAGTTGTCCATTAGGAACAGTTTGCAAGCCAAGTAATCTTCTTCCAAAATTGTTGTTTCCAGCTTAATGGATTCCACATTAAATCGTTTCTTTATGTCATCTGTCAAAAGGCGTTCTTCGGCTTCTGCATTCAAGTTCCCAGAACAGTAGTCTTCCCACAGACGTTCGAGAATTTCCAGAGTCCTGCACTCCACTGTTATCAGTAAACTTCCCTCGGTTGCATCTTTTACTATTAAGTCGAGTACTCCTTTTAAATAGTAATCAAGGCAGAGAGGGTAGTTGTCCGCTGGGACTTGAGATGCATGTGTCTCAAGAAAGCATTTCGTCATCTCCTTCATTATGAGCCGCTTGGCTTCCTCTTGTTGCACAGGATCCCTGCTTTTTGCCTTTTGAAATGCAACTCTGTTCATTTTCATCACCATGGTTAAAATACCTTAAAAATTCAACTCATTTCAGTAAGTTTTTTTCTATCACGAATTAAAGCTTAACTTGCCTGAATATAAACCGTGTGAGTGTGATTCGGGAAGTATTCCAAAGGTTTAACAGTGATAACAATGGGGTGACAGGCCTATACAACTCCTATCCACGTGTAATAGCCGCTTTGAAAGTTTTGCTCGAACTTGTATATCTTTAAGGATCTGCCTCTTTTGTATGGTACGACAGGGGGATCTTTGAATATTTCGCTAAGCAATAATCTTGTGCTTTTAGGAGGACATTTCACCAGAGTAGAACCGTTAGAGGTCATAGGTCTGTGTAGTTTCCGCTGTTATCAGCGTGTAATTTGTAGAGTTTGACACCTCTGTTTTTTTGCTACGTGCTAGTTCTTTTGGCTCATTTGTGATGCAAGATATGTTTTAAGCTCTCGAAATATTAGCTCTGGAGGGACAAAGTTTGAAATATTCCGTGAACATGTTGGTTACTTGCGTTTTACATTAGGGACTTTAAGATATGGTACGGCTAGGCTGTAGTACGGCGGCAGATAGTGAAGATCGCTTCCGGTGACGTCATGACGCGCGTACCAGTACGGCTTTCCCACTGTAGCTTTGCTTTCTACTACGGGAAAGTGCCTGGTTCACGTGCTCTTCACTTCGTGAGTATAAGCCTGTTGTTTACTTCTCATTTTAACGCTTTTTTCACTGTTTGAACAGCTTGGTTTGAAGATGAAGTTCTCAATCATAAAAATAAGTTCTAAGATCATTGTTTCTTTGTCATTTGTACAGAAAATTTGAACGATTTTAACACCTACCACAAGATGATCAGTTCAGTCATATTAGTATCGGGCCGAACAGCCGTAGATAAGAAAGCTTCGTATGTTCTAATCTGAGCTATAATTGTTTATTACTGTTGAAAATGTACTTTATTATAATCGAAAGTTTTGCATTTTCGGGCTTATCAGGTAATCGTTGTACGAACAACCTGTCCGTGTTGAAATCGAGCTTTTTTATATCAGAGTTTATATCTTGCTTTGTGGTTGGAATTACAGGCGGTGCTGTCAAGTTCTAAAAGGCAAATCTGAGTTCTGAGAGATGTAAGACGGATACAGGAGAAGGAAATCATTGTCATTAATCAAGCCTATTTCGTTTGAAAGTAGAAAAATCTCTGGTTTCTTTGAAAGTAGTCATTTTTGTAAGACACGTAGAGACTGCACATACCGTTGCCGTACAGCAAAATCTTAATCATTTGAGTTTGGCGGGTAGAACACCGTTGTCAGCCTAGTCCCTCACGGCGAAAGTAGCCGTAGTAGCACCTCGCCGTGGCGTATCTTAAAGTCCCTATTATTACGCCGGGCCCGGCTGTTTGATTAACTGTTGCAAGTTATGCTGCTTCTTATCACGGGAGTCAGATTTATCTTTGTCCGGCTTTGCCAGGGATAGTTGTAGCTTTCCTTGCGGAAATCTTTAAGTCTGTCTTAGAGAGACGTTCTTATGTTTCTTGCATCAATTTCATCGAGCCCTCAGTCCTTCCAGTTTGTTTGTTCTGGCACTACAAATGTAAGTGTTCACGCGCAAGTCTGTGGACTGTTTTGCGTGTTGTTTATAATATTGTGTGGTTTTGCTGAGGCAAAAAGCTCCACGTTGTGGTCGACATTGCTTCTATCTGCGATGTTGACAGGTGTTGTTGAGACTGTTAATAGTCCCTCTTTTGTTAGGAGGCTCGTAGCCTTGTCGTTCAGGCAACACCGCGGTTTCGATCCTTCTGGATCTCATCAGTTGCCGATAGCAGGGAGTGATGGAGACCAATGCTTGCTAACACTCCGTGCCTGGCGTATCTTTTGGAGATTATATACTCGTTCGGCGGATCGAGAATTCTTGATTGTGATTGGTAGTTTTGCCACCAGCGAATGGTGAGCATAAATTTTTCGATTCCATTGTACACAGCTTGACACTGTGTTTTCTATGATGGCGATAATGCTTAATTTCTCCAGCATGTGTAGTTTGAATTTAAGTATAAAACGTAAGATAGTTATGCGTTGTTATTATATAATCTCAAAAAATTACGCCAGGTGCGGAGTGTTAGCGAGCATTGGTTGCCATCATTCCCTGCTACCGGCAACTGATGAGATCCAGATTGAAACCGCCTGACAACATCGCAAATAAAAGCAATGACGACCACAACGTGGAGCTGCATGAACAATCATAGGAAGAACTCCTAAATTCAGAACTTTTTGACTGGACAAAACCACACAATATCCTAAACAACACGCAAAACAGTCCACAGACTTGCGCGTGAACACTTACATTTGTAGTGCCAGAACAAACAAACATGATGCAAGAAACATAAGAACGTCTCTCAAAGACAGACTTAAAGATTTCCGCGAGGAAAGCTACAACTCTCTCTGGCAAAGCCGGACAAAGATAAATATGACTCCCGTGATAAGAAGTAGCATACCTTGCAACAGTTAATCAAACAACCGGGCCCCGCGTAATAATGCAAAATGCAAGTAACCAACATGTTCACGGAATATTTCAAACTTTGTCCCTCCAGAGCTAATATTTAGAGAGCTTAAAACATATCTTGCAGCACAAATGAGCCAAAAAACTAGCACGTGGCAAAAAACAGAGGCGTCAAACTCTAGAAATTACACGCCGATAACAGCGGAAACCACACAGACCTATGACCTCTAACGGCTCTACTCTGGTGAAACGTACTCCCAAAAACACAGGATTATTGCTTAGCGAAATATTCAAAGATCCCCGTGTCGTACCATGTATGTTGTAAGTCAATATACTAGTCGGTAGACAAATGTAAACTCAGAAGGCGAGGTACCTGGATCGTGCGCAGTCTTGATTTGTGTTTGCTGGGTAAGCACCGCTGTTCTTTCTGGGCTCTCACAGGCTTCAGAACCATCTATTAAAAGAAAAGACGATAGCTTTTCTCCAGGACTCAAAATTATGCTTTTGAACATGCAATCGCTTCAGTGGTCTCTTAATGAATAAAGCTCAATTACAAACTGATGACTTTGATGAACTTCTAAATGTAGTACAGTTTCGCGTAAGCTATCCAAAATTGCGTGTATATTATTTTCTGCTAACATGTTACATTCTTATGTAAACTCCCAGATCGAAGGCTTCCAAACATTAAACAGTTTTCCGGGGGGCGTAGCCACGATTTTTCAAATGGGGGTCACACTGTGTCAAAGTGAGGCTACTCACCAGATTGCCACCTGTTGTAGGTTGTTACCCCTAGCTACGCCATTGGTTTTTAATGACAACAATTCAAATCTATTATTTTAAACTGAGACAAACAATCCATCAGTATTGTATCATATGTTCGCTATAGTTTACTTATGGAATGACTCACTAAATTAAAAAGAACAATCCTTTAATTTGTTGAGTAATTTCAGACATATCTGACATACTGGCATATCGTAGTTATGTTTGTCTCGACAACATATACCGTAAATCCTCGAATTAGCGCCCCCCTCGAATAAGCGCGCCTCCTATCGGCCGAAATTTAAAATAGCGCCCCCCTCCCCCCTCGAATAAGCGCCCCCTCTCCTCCCTCCATTTTGTAGACGGGTACTGGGACAAAAAAAGGATGTATAGGTTTCGTCACGCAGTATTAGATTTGTACATTGTTTCAGTTTGTGAACACGTTAAGTGAACACGTTGAACACGTTAAGTGCTAACGGTGCCGCGATTTAAACTAGGATGAGCTTTTTGTGTCGATAAACAGCTTAGGTTTTTGTTTACGTACAGATGATGTATTAAAAAAATTATCATGTCAGGCCACGATTTGGAAAAATTAAATAAGCTCCCCTCCCTGGAAAAAGCACCTCCCGTCTTCTTCTAAATTTGAAATAAGCGCCCCGGGTGCTAATTCGAGGATTTACGGTATCGGACACTCGTGAAATTCAAAAAACAAACATTCGCTGGTTCAGCATAGTTTTGGATAACCAGCTACATACATACATCATACATACATCCTTTATTATCTTTCCCCATGGGGGCTTTTCGAAGACAATACGGTACAATACTACAATTAAATACTAATATACTAAAATTAAATACTAATATACTAAAATTGGTAATATACTAAAATTGGTATGGTTAATGCATACCATTGATCATGCTGACCAGCTAAAAGTAAAGCAAATCATTAGACACTTGCTTTTGAAGAGCCCTTCAATAATCGTAAATCCTCACTACTGGTTAATACATACCATTGATCATGCTGACCATTTTGTCAACGAGGTAATTACTTTGCCTCTCCCAACTGTACTTCGTCTCGTATAATGTACGTAATATTTTGGACTCCTGAAGTCGGCCCCTTCTCTCTTTATTTCGGACATCCTCGATTGCCTTGGCCCATACCGTGGGATCCTCGGAATCAACCACAAACAAAGAACCAAATGGCAATTTCTTCATGGCCTCTCCAAGGCCCGAGTTTCGGCTCACAAGGACGGGTAGACCAGCCGATAGAGCTTCAAGACCTGTTAGACCAAAGCCTTCTGTTCTCGAGGGCATAACAGCAAGATCTGCTTCGCAAAGCACCTTTTTCAAACCTTCCCGGCTTTGTAGAAAACTTCTTACCGTTAAGTTGTTGGGAAGAATGCCATACTCGAGAAAACGATTTTTAATTTCTTGTAGTTTTCCATCTGGTGCACCAACGAAAAGAAGATGACAGTCACTCAAGGTTGCAACAGCACTAGCTGCAATGTCAAATCCTTTCAACAAAAAATCTTCAGCATCTCCACGACCAAACACAAGGACTCGGAAAATGTTGCGGTCATCAAGAACCTGTTGGACTTCAGAAAACTCAGCCAAAATGCCAGGAGTAAATTCAAAGATTTGATCTTCCTTGCAGCCGCGAAGGTAGGCGCGAAAAGCCTCATTCAATTTGGGTCCAACTGTAACAACAAAGTCAGCCATTTCACAAAGAGCTACTTCCGTTTCATGCTTTTTTTCATTCACTGACACTGGATTCGAATATGTCTTATACATCCCGAGTTCCTCAGGGGCAGTATGGACAACCTGAACCCATTTACATTGGTGTGACTCCCGTATAACTTGTGCTTGATGACCGAGCTTGACACCATGACCAACAACTATGTCAATTTGTAAATCTTTTGGTGGAAAGTTAAGCCATGCCAACTCATCCATACCAGGCCGCCTAATTGCCTTGACAAGATTAACCTTGTGACCGAGAGCTGCTTTCTTGTCATCGTCATTGCATCGTGGAACAAAGAAGGTGACCTCTACCTCTGGACTTTTTGCCACGTTTATTGCTAACTCTTTGTTTACAGTGGAAAGTCCTCCTTTACATGATCCCCATTCTGATCCCAGGAAAGTAGCTTTTAATTTTCTTGATGATGAATAAGGTCCACTGTTTTCTTGAAATTCCTCTTTATTGGGTGTCAGAGAGGAGCTCGAGGATTCTGACTTCTGAAATAAATTATGCAAAATTGTAAACTAGCTGGAAAACGTTTAAGTGGTCGTCTTGTTTGTTGATAGACATCAAGGCTTTGATTTGCTCTCTTTAAAACAGAATAGATACTGCCGGAATTAGACTGTCTAAAACACGAAACGTCATATAAAGAGTTTTACTCATTTACAGTTTAATATACAATTGTGCTTAAAATTTCCAAAAGATGTCTTTAAAAAGCAAAGATTTGTAACACACTTTGATTTAGGTTTAACAATTTAGGAGATCTGAAAACTCAACAGAGGCTAGTTTTTCATTGGTATCAATTATGATCATCATCATCATCACCATTATGATAATCGCGATTTTCGTAATTTGCACAATAGGTTATCCAATGCATACTTCTCAAGTCAATCAAAAATAAGTATGGGTTATTGACCAAGTGTAAGGTCAAGATGGCTGGATATTGGCTAAGTTCTTTTTTTGCGTGTTTATGGACCGAGACGGAGTCGAGGTC